AATCCAAGCTCCCCACGTGCCCCTAAAAACCATCCCTTCGCACCCACTCCCCTCCCTTTCACCCTCACCACTCCTCCCCCTTCTCTATCTAACTAAAAAAATAAAATAAAATATAAAATAAAAAAAATAAAAAAACCAGCTTCACTCTCTCTCTCTAACCCTAAAATAAAATAAAATAAAATAATAAAATAACCAGCTTCGCGCTCTCTCTCTCTAATCCTAAAATAAAATAAAATAAAATAACCAGCTTCGCTCTCTCTCTCTCTCTCTCTCGAAAAGCTTCGCTCTTTTTCGTCCTAACTAAAGCCTAGGAATCTCTAGGTTCCCATCCTTCTCCTCTTCCCAGATCCTTGAACCCTCATCGCCATCACGCCAAGAATCTCCTCTTCAAAAAGAAAAGAACCCCCCCCCCCCCCCCCCCACAAAAAAAAAAAAATCGAATGGCCATGAAAACCCATCACAAGCTCAAGCTCCTCTTCGCCCGGCCCCCCTCCCCTCCTCGTTCTCTTGCTCTTCCTCCTCTTCCACTACTTCAGGACAAGTCGCGGCCGGCTCCGGGTGCGCGGCGGGAAATCGGTCGAGGAAGGATCCGAATCGCGAGCCGCGAAACAGAGGCCTGGTGGTCTTCGCGGCGCGGCGAGGAGCTGACCTCGCAGGAGATCCTCGACGCGCCGGGGGAGGTGGTGGGGAAGTCGGGTTACGGGACGCTGTATCGGGCCGGGCTGGGGGTAGCGGGTCGGTTATGATGCTGAGGTTCCTGAGGCCCGCTTGCGTCGGGAGAGGGAGGAGGTCGCGGAGGCGGTTAGGGCTGTTGGGGCCGCGAGGCACCCGAACCTGGTGCCGCTGAGGGGGGTGTACGTGGGGCCGAGGGGGGAGAAGCTGTTCGTGTACCCGCACTTTGAGGGCGGGAATCTGGCTCAGTTCTTGAAAGGTGAGTTTTTTTTTTTGGGGGGGGGTTGGAATTTCGAGATTTTGGGTTGTTCGGAGGCAATGTGGGTATGATCTTGTCTGTAGAATTATTGATTTTGGGGTTACTTGCAATTTTTACTTTTAACTTTCAACTTTTTTTAAAATGGATTTGATAATTTGACACCCCGAACCGCAAAAAAGTTGGGATGAGTTTGTCCAAGAATATCAACGTAGAAGAGAAGCAAATTTTTGGGGTATCGAATTATCGAATTAAATGTTAACTGAAAATCTTTGGGAATGTTAGATTGTCAAAATAAACTCGAGTATGGGATTATTGTTTTTTTTTATTTTGGAATGGCTAAATTCAGTTCCTTTTAGGAATTCTATTGTGGTTCCTCTTTATTTTTAATTGGGTTTTATAAGTTTATGAAAAGATTGAATCTTTTATTAATAGGTTTAGTTGATTCCTTGTTGGCAGCCAAAAGGAAAGAAAGGGGAGAAAAAAAATCATTGCGATTGTCCATTAATGTAGACTTGCGCTGGATGTTGATGTTTCTTTTTTCTCTCTGAAAAGTCTCTTTCTTAAATTAATAAGAGTTAGTCTAGAATTGCGTCCTTTGCTTTACTTCCAATTAACTGGTGATCTTTTTAACTGTAACTACCGTCTTGGATTTTATAGTGCATTATCTTTGATTGTGCTTAGCTTTTAGTATACTGGCTTCTTGAGCAATTAGCAATCTTCAATCCTCATAGTTCCAAGATTTTCTTTGGAAGTACGTTCCCTTGATTTTTCTTCCATTTCCTTGGCGATTTCTTATCAGAAAGTGGACTTTTGTCCGTGTTTATTTGGCCCTTTGCATGTAGACCCGTGTCCTCTTCTGTCTTCTTGTATTTTGCTCTTTCCCATCAATCCTTTTCAGTTGTTAATCAATTGTATTAAACAAACTTCATAGCAACCAGAATTGTTCATTAAAATAAATATTTTCATGTATTATGTATCAGTTTGATTAATAATCCTCTAAGTTTACATGATTGAACCATATCTTACTTATTTCAATAGTTAATGATGCATACTTTTGATGAAATACTCATCTTCCTCCATATTTTTTTTCCATTTAACTATGGTTAGGGTGTTAGTTGATTTAGTACTAGAATTGAATTTTCATTTATCTCAAATCTTTTCCTTTGGCTTCTCCTTCTTTCAAACTTCACTTTCAAGATGTCTTGATGAAGAACGCAAAAGAATGAAAACCTCATCCACAAGAAATCTTATTAAATGAAAGATTTTTCGAAATGCAATCCTCCTACTTGAATCACATATTTATTTTCAGATTATCATAATAACAGTTTATGGTCTAGAATCAAGGACTGGAAGATGCTTATGGGATTTGTAGAAAATCAGGGGGAAATTTTAGATTTAGAAATATATTATATTTCTTCTTAAAGATATGGGTATCTTATGGTTTTTGTTAATTTCAACTAATAAATATATGAAAGTTTTCCTTTTGTTCTAGTGATTACTTTTGCTTTTTTTTTTCACTTCACCTTTCATCTTTTTGTACTACAGTAAATTTACTTCAAATTAGAGTATGATTTCCTTTCATGCTGCAGATGGGAAAGCCGAATCACACAGATGGGAGATCATCTACAAGCTATCTCTAGGCATTGCCAGGGGATTAGATTACCTGCACAATGGATTACAAAAGCCCATAACACACGGCAATCTCAAGTCAAAGAACATCCTACTCGATTCAGACCACCAGCCTCTCCTCTCAGACTTCGGCCTTCACCTTCTTCTAAATCCCACAGCAGCCCAAGAAATGCTCGAGGCGTCATCAGCTCAGGGCTACAAAGCCCCAGAGCTGATAAAGATGAAAAATGCAAGCAAAGAGACTGATATCTACAGCCTCGGAGTAATCTACCTTGAGATTCTAACGCGAAAGGAACCCATGAGCCTTCATCTCCCAGCCTCATTGAGGAACATGTTTCTTGAGCATAAAATCTCCGAAGAGTTCAGCTTTGATCTCGCTGATGAAAGTAAGAATAAAAACAATACCATCGAAGAAAGTCTGCGCAAGTTCTTTCACCTAGCAATGGCCTGTTGCTCTCCTTCTCCTGTGTTAAGACCAGATATCAAGCAGATTATCAGAAAGCTCGAGGAGTTGTGATTATTGGAACTAATACAAGATTGACACAACTACAGAAGCTAATAACTACCCTTTAGAGCATTTGTAAGAATACAGTGGGTCATTTGGTGGTTGGGGGATCACTTTGGCTTGTACCACTTAGCCCACTGACAGAAGAAAAGGGTGAAGAGCCGGACAAGAGCCATGGCAATGGAGTTTTAACGCATGGGAGAAGAGAGCTGTGCTGTTCTTTTGGAGGGTAGCATTTTGAAACTGTGGTGGCTGCAATGAGCTGTTGATTCTTGAATTGTCAGTTACTTGTAAAGAATGTGAAAGTAACAAAAGCTTGTGACCCAAAAATCGATTTACCGAGTTCTTGTCCTTGTTGACTGTTCCATGCATCTTCATGAGTTAACGTGATTGGGGTCCATCGACAGAAGCTAACATCTATGATTGGGGGGGAGAGAATTGGTATACTTTTTGTCATTACCTCTGAGAGATCACCAAATAGCTCCAAAGTGCCAGTGTTTTTATATGTGCTGAGCCCTGGTGGAAACTGCAGAATGCATGTTAGCCAAAAGTTGTGGAATATGTTATATCTTTGGAAGTATTTTATGCTCGCATGTGGGCATCTTTTAAAAGGTTGGCTAAGGGCTAGCTCGTGTTGTACGCTCAAATCTGCTCTCAACTGCTATCATCATTGTTTTTAATGCTTTTGCCTGCATGACTTTGGAAGCAGGATATGTTGATAACTAAGTTTGTTCCCAATGTTGCTATGAGCCACTGTTGTTAGATGGGTAATTGCTGTTGACGGGCCCTTGTGAACGTAAGCATGAACAAGTGGGTCCAAATTATGGACCCAAATGCTGCTATATCTTGGACCATTTAGGCTTGTTTTCTTGCCATGGTGCAGGGTGTTCTGGGCCGTTCATATGCAAAACAGGAGGGGGTGTTGTTGGTTTATCACTGCATCCTAAGGTTCAGAATACCCCCATGTGATGGATTGTTCTGATAGGATCTTTAGTGTGAAAATAGAGCTGCAACATGGTAATCTGTCGTTTGGTTTACAACATTTCAATTTTCAATTATGAATGTAAATTGAATTTATAGCAGAAAAATTGCATGTCACGGATAATTTTGTGGGAGTGGGGGTTGCATCCTGTAAAAGGTTATTAAATTTTTTAAAAAAAATTATTTCACACCATCAAAAAATTTCTTTTTTTCTATTCCAAATTAGAAAATTGTTTTTTTACATATATAATAAGCACACCTTTTGCATAATTGTTTTTCAACCAATATTGAATTTGCATTTGGAATTGCATTTCTCACAATAATGATATGCAAGTCTACTGTCTTTAATAATAATAATAATAAACTCTTTGACCCCCAAAAAGAAAAAAGGAAATAGAAAAAGAAAAACCCCTCTTACATTGGACTTGTGTGGGATTTAATTGGATAAAGATGCCAACTATTTCGTTTTGGCTGTTTCCACGAGTAAATGCATCAGTACTCGTACAGATTGCTCCTCGAGATGATGCAAGTGATAGAAACACGCCATGTTGCATCATCAAATTCGATGTTTTTTTTCCCCATAAAATGAGGGGTTTTTAGCATATTATATTTCTTTTGACCTTGTAACTTACAAGTACGTCTCTGTATTGCTGTGAACTGTTAATGGTAGCATCCAAACCAAGATTTTTGTTGCATATGAAAAGAATTGATTCTTTTCCTTCAGTGACGACGGAGATCTTAAAGACAATTGACCTTCATAAGAATATGAGCATAGCTTCATTAATTCGTTAGTCAGCTGAAAATATATCGCAAGTTTAAATTGCATCTGCTCTTGACTTCTAGGAACTTTAAAATGATAATCCTGACTAAATAAAATATAAGGCTAATTGCACGCAGACCCCCTTACCATCATGCTATGCCACCAATTATCTCTTAAGTTTGATATCGGCAATAAAGTTGGCACCGCCCTCTGCATCCCTATTTTGGATGAACACATTGTTCTCAGCGAGGTGGTTTAGGGTGGGAATGGAGCGAGGTGGTTTAGAGTAGGGGTGTCCAAAAAGCCCGGAGCCCGGGCCCGGCCCGGTGTCCTGCCCGGGCCCGGCCCGGTCGTGCCCGGGCCCGGAAACCCGGGCAAAACCCGGGTCCGGGCCCGGGCCCGGGTCGCCGTGTTTCAATTCATTTTCTCACAACAAAACTCATCTATTTCTCTCTCTACTACTCTCTTATACAATCTTATACTATCTCATACTAATATACTATCCTATAATCTTTTGTATTTTCTAATACTTCCAACAAATGGCTTCTGGGTCTGATTATGAAGAGCAACATGCAACTCCTACCGATCCAGAGATGAGTCCTCCTACAACAACTCCTCATCCTACCGGTGTTAATCCTGAATCTGGTGGCGACGAATCTACGGCACCAAGAGCTCCAAAAAGGCCGAGGTCTGATGTATGGAATTTTTTTGAGAAGATAGACGTCACCAAGGATGAACACGGTAGGATCATCTCTCAGAATGCGAAATGTGCGTTGTGCGGCCAGATATTCAAAGCTCATCATAAGAGCGGCACCAACCATCTCAAACGGCATATTGAAAAACACAACAAAGGCCAAAATCTACAAGGTGATATCCGGCAGTCTATGCTTTCCCAATCATCCTCTTCAGGTACCCTCGGCAGTTGGAATTATGACGCTGCCCGAGCCCGGAAATGCGTAATCAGGTTTATTGTTCTTAAAAACCTTCCTTTTAAATTAGTAGAAGATGATGAATTTGAAGATTTATTTAGAGATGGTTTTTATCCTGCATTTACAAAATTTTCTCGTCAAACCTGTCAACGTGATATTTTAAAATATTATGTTGAGGAACAGGGAAAAATAATTTCTTATTTTAAAAATTTAAACTGCAAATTTTCTTTAACTTCTGATATTTGGTCATCTAGAGTGCAAACTGGTTATTTATGTATAACAGCACACTGGATTGATGAAAGTTGGAAAATGTTTAAAAGAGTTGTTTCTTTTATTGCAATTGAAGAGTCACACACTGGTATTAATGTTGCAAATTTAATTGTTGAAGAACTTATGAAACTAGAAATTGATCAAAGAATATTTACTCTTTCACTAGATAATGCAAGTAATAATAATGTAGCTGTTGATTTTCTGAAAATAACTTTGTCATTGCCATGTCATGGTGAGCTTTTTCATGTTAGATGTATCTGTCATATTTTAAATTTAATTGTTCAAAGTGCATTTTCTGAAATTAAACCCATGATAGAAAAAGTTAGAACAGTTACTAATATGCATAATGCTTCTGAAATGAGAATTAAAAGATGGAAACAATGTTGTAAAAGAAAAAATTATAAGCCTAGACTAATTCCAAAAGATGTTGACCATAGGTGGAATTCCACCTATGCAATGTTATCTGTAGCAATAGAATATAAAGAAATTATAAATGATTTTATAAATTTTTATGCTTCTAGTTCTAGCTCTGGTAGTGCTTATGGAATAACTGAAGATGAATGGACAGTTATATGTAAATTAAATGAGATGTTACAAGTTTTTTATGATGCTACTATGTTATTATCTGGTTGTTATTATCCAACTATTACTTTAGCTGCTTTACAAATTTTAAATATTCAAAAAAATTTTACAAAATATCGTATGGATGATATTTTTGGAAGTATAATTTTTGAAATGGAGAGTAAATTTAATAAGTATTTTAGGCCTATTCCTCATATTTTTGGTATTGGTGTTCTTATTGATCCATGCTTGAAGGAAATTGGCCTTCGAAGTTTGTTACAATCATTGTATGGTGGACAGATTATAGACTTAGATGATGGATCCACCCTTACTGCTACTACTCATTATTTAGCTATTAGAAATTATTTTCAAACCTTATATGATGAGTATGCAGCTAGATATGGTGTAGCTACACAACAGTCTTCAGCTTCGGCACCTTCAGCTTCGAGCACAGGTCGAGGTAAAAGTGTAAGTTTTGATAGGTATGCAATGGTAGCTGAACTAACTGGTGGATCTGGAACTTCATCAGGATTAGATGTTTCTGAAATAGATGAATATTTTTCTGCTTCTTTAGTTAGATGTCAAGGAAATGCTTTAGATATTTTGCAATGGTGGAAAGTATATGGATCAGTTTCATATCCTATACTTTCCACCATGGTTCGTGACTTACTATCAGTGCAGGTTTCGACTGTAGCCTCGGAATCCGCTTTCAGCACAGCAGGACGTTTGATCGACGACCACAGGACATGCTTAGATCCGTATACTGTACAAGCGGTGATGTGCTTACAGGATTGGTGGAGATACGAGAAGCGAACACAAGGCATCGAACGGATTGCTATGATTGAAGATAAATTTGAAGAGTTGGGACTAGCAGATAGATATAATGATTAGATAATATTCATAAAATTGTAATTTTGTTTTCTTAGCTTTAAATTTGAATTAAATTATTTCGAAAAAAGTTACAAATGATAGTGATATGGGTGAGTAGGTGCCAACCTAGTTGGGATGTACTCATCTATTGTGATGCGACGAATTTCGAAATAAATTTATACTTGTAAAGGATTTGTAAAGGATTTACCGATTATTAATAAAGAAGTTATTTTTATCATTTTTTGTACTTGTAATTTATGTCATTTCATTTCAAGTTATTAATTAAATTTATGACATTTTTTATAATAATTTATGGTTTATGGTTTTGTTAAAATTTAAAAAAAAAACAAAAAAAATTTCTTAAAAAAAATCAAACCGGGCCGGCCCGATGTCCGGCCCGCTCAGGCCCGGGCCCGGGCCCGGGTCCGGGCTTGGGTTTTGCCTGGCCCGGGCCCGGTTTTCCGGGCCGGGCCGGGCCGGGCCGGGCCGGATGGACAGCCCTAGTTTAGAGTAGGATAAATTTTGAAAACCATCCTATTTGAGAAAATAATCGCAAATTCCGACTTATTCTAAAAAAAAATTATCAAAACCGACCTAGTTTTAGCCGTCTGGCTGAAACTGGGTCGGTTTTGACAAAATATGTTTTGAAACTTTACCAGACTTCAAGTCCCGTGAAGTTTTGTAATGAACAAAAACTTCAAGTCTGACTGAAACTAGGACTTGAAGTCTCGTGAAGTTCCGGAAGATTTTTTTTCTTCAAAACTGACCCAGTTTCAGCCCGACAGCTGAAACTGGATTGGTTTTCACAAATATTTTGTGAATGAGTCGATTTTTGCAATTATTTTCTCAAATAAGATGGTTTTCAAAATTTGTCCTTTAGTGATACGAGTGTATCTTCTCTTCAGAACTTAGAGATCCTCATGGGAGTTTGAAGATAGATGATTCTCATGGTAACTTGATAATAGAGGTATAAAACAACACAGTGGAACACAGGTTGAAGCATGAAACGAGACGGCGAATCGAAGAATCGAAGCATCCAGTTTTCAGCCCGTGAGTCGACTCATAACAATCATGAGTCGACTCGTCAGGTTAAGTTGGCTCATGCCTGTCATAAGTCGAACCATGAAACTCAGCCGTTTTGTCAAAAGTCTCTGACCAGTTGACTCATCACTGTATGAGTCGACCCATGTGTCATGAGTCGACTCATATATGCACATGAGTCGACTCATCGATGATTTCCTGGTTCGTTTAGGTTTCTGTTTTAGGGAATTCCTGTGGGGTTCGGACTTGGTTATTTACCACTTTGTCA